TTGTGGGTGTTTACATGGACAGCTCTCTAAATTATGGCTTCCCTTTTTGGGTACCCTACATCATAGGGTCGCCTTATACTACGACAGAAGGGATCACATGTTTAGAGACGTGACCCTAGTTTGAGGTTGAGGGCTTGTGGGGGGTTAGGTGCGGTTTTTCACATCGCGACTTCTGTTGGCAGGAGATCGACCAAGGCGAAGCCAGCAGAGCCTCGTCATCCAGCTTCTCAAGCCGCCCACAACTGGGTGCCTATGCTGCAAAGAGCGCTTCTTCGCATGCAGCTCAAGGGCATCTTCGCCAAGCAAACTGCGAAGGGGACTGCTCCACAAGATGGTACTGGTACCCGTTATAGGCAACTTTCTGCCAGGCTCTTCCTCAAACAAACCTCCCCACTAAACGGGCGCTGATGTAGAATTCAACCTCCTCTGCATAAACCGTGAGAAGCGTGGTTGAGCTACAGGCGTGGCTGGCTTCTGATGTCTCTAAACTTGCTCATCGCCCTGGTGATGGTGCTGCCAGCTCACATTGCGTTGGGGGGAGATTTCCTAGGTGGGATAAGGGGGACCCTTAAAAGGGAACCCCTTCTTAACCCTCTTCTGGCTCTCTTAACAAGGGACCTTATTCAGAGGGTCTATATCCCCTAATCCTATCCCTTAAGATTTCGGCCCCACTCGGGGTCTGTCGATCTTCATGGGGCCGAAACCCACAAACCCTAAACGGCAAGGGCCCTGCTGAGTGCCAGGTGTCCTTCTGCATCGTGCTGGCCGATGTAGTCAGGACTCGCCGTGCCAGTTCTTGCCCTAAACCCTAAACCCTAAACCCTAAACCCTAAACCCTAGACCCTAGACCCTAGACCCTAGACCCTAGACCCTAAACCCTAAACCCTAAACCCTAGACCCTAAGCGACGGCAGAGTTCGCCCCCTAAACCCCAAATCCGATCACGTTGTCAACTTGTCAACCTTAAGGTCTTTCAAACCCTGCAAAGCTCTGCAGGCTCCAGAAGCCCTATAAACCGGGTAGCCCCCCTAGAAACTCGATGATCAACCCTGTAAACCCCAAAGCCCCTATAACCCTTAAGTTGAGGGTTATAGGGGTAAGGGTTCTGGGGGTTATAGGGTCTGAGGGGTCATAGGGCTTAACTGGGTTTGCGGGGTTTCTAGGGCTGAAGGGGTTTATGCGCTTGGCAGGGTTCCTAACGCTTCCTAATAATAATAATAGTAATACTAATAATAGTAATAATAATACTAATAGTAATAATAATAATACTAATAATAATAATTCGAATAATAATAATAAGAATAGTAATAATAATAATCGTAATAATAATAGTAATAATAATACTAATAGAGCATTGACTCAGCTGCCAGGCAACCTCCGAGCCTGCTCGATCCGCCGCCGGACCATAAGGTGCTCCCAGCAATGAGGTTAAGGTGCCCTAAACCCTAAACCCTAAACCCTAAACCCTAAACCCTAAACCCTAAACCCTAAACCCTAAACCCTAAACCCTAAACCCTAAACCGTATGTTTAGGTGTTTAGGGTTTTGGGGTTTTGAGGAACCGAGAAGTTGGGGATGGAACGGGCCCATCGTGGGTTCTGCCGACCTACGAGCTGTTGGTGAGCGAGCGACCTGGGTCGGCTTGCGCCCTTGGGCTTCGGGTTTCGGATTTGGGGATGTTTGGGGCTTAGGGTTTAGGTGGCAAGTTGCGAAGTTGCTGAGGTTGTTTAGATTTTTTGAGGTTTGGGGTGCTTCGGCAGTTTAGAATTTAGAGTCTTGTCGGGTGCTTAGGGTAGTTTAAGGTTTTCTTGATTCGGGTAGTTTCGGGCCTCGGATATTTTAGGATATAGGGCAGGTTCGGCTTTGGGGCTGTTAGGGTCGAGTGTGAAGGACATTCGACAAACAGATCACACGGGAGTATCCTCTAACTCGGGTGCGCCTTCGTACCTCCCAAATATGGCAGAGTCTCCGCGGAATAAGGACCCCTAAACCAAGCCACTAAGTTTTCGGAAACCTTCCACAAACGCGTGTCGGTCAGGTCCAAAGCCAAAAGCCATGAGTGTCTGGAGCCCTGGCGCTTGGGGTTTAGAGTTTAGGCTCACTCACGAACTTCGTTTCATGTGACCAGTCCTCCAAGGCAGTGGCACAAGGTGACAGCAGCTGCAAAACTGGGTTGCTATGAAGCACTCAAATGGGGGTGTCCCAAATGCGGGTGCAATATTGGGGCGGTTCGGGTCATGTGTATGAAGGGGTTCCTGATTTTGGGAAATGCCCGAATAAAGTCACCATCATACCTGATCAAGGTAACTACTTCGTTTTAGTTCCTCGACAACAGCAACCCAGAAAACCATGCACAGTGCACGCAGTGGGCCAATTGGCCCCTCAGTCGGGCACGACGATGTGAGTCAATCCTCCGACGTGGGGGACTGGCGCGAAAACCGCTGCAGGTGCCCTTTGCGCCTGTCCACTCATGTTAGACATACCTGGCCAGTGCGGAAAGCATCGCCTTCCTGACAAAATGACGCATCAGTTCTTTCGCTTTCTCCTGCTCTCACGGCAGTGGCAAGGCATGTGAGGGCTGCAGTCTCTTTCTGAGTAACGGTCGGATCTGCCGCCCTGTTCCGACTCCAGCTGCTTGTGACTGTGGCATGTGTGGAATGGCCGATGGCCAAGAGCTGTCTCTAAGCTCCGCAAACACTCAGCCGGTAGAGCAACGAGACCGTAGTTGGGACTGACAGCGAGAGAACGCGGCATGGATCCGGCAGTTGAGTCGCCTTGGTGGCGGCCAGTGTCTTTATGCCGCTGGCGGATGCCTACGTGTCTTGGCCAAGGTCACAAGCCCCTTGCAATGTGGCCCTCGTTAGCAACGCCCTAACTTCGGGCAACGCCTGCCTGGTAAGTTACGCGTACCATCGCGATTACCGATTTTGTTCAGGGCATTTCCAAAGAACGGGTACCTCTTTCATACCCGATCATACGCGAAGTATGAAGGGACTCCCCCAAAAAGGGTAGCCAGAAATTTTCGGAAACCCCCTTTTGATTCTGAGCCGCTTTGCCGGCTGAGGCAACCTTGGGAGTACAGTGCTCCTGCAGCGACGAGGAGGTCAAGCAAGCCTACAGGGCGTTGGCCCTCAAGACACTCGACTGCAGTGATCGCAAGACACTCTACGAGGGCAGGCAATCCCTTGTGAAAACATAAATGCGTCTCTGTCTGTGTGTGTGCGCGTTGCGCGCACGTTCGCGAGCTGTTGCACACAGGAATCATCCCGACAAGGCCGCTGGCTCGGTGAATGGGATTAGTATTAATTACGTGGGGTTTGCCCCCAAAGAAACTTGAGTCAGGCTCCTGCCCATGTTCACCGTGTGCTGGATGTTGCCAGGTTCAGGATGAGACGCAAAGACGATCGGCAACCGTCCGCTTTCAGGCTCAGAATGACGCAAGCGTGGGAAGACTCTCAGATGTCCAGAAGAAACCCCAGGAGATCCAGGCTGCTTACGAGACCATTGTCGATAGCAGAACACGGACAGACGAAGATGCTTCGCTTTCCCTGACTTGTCGTCCCTGCACTGAATCAACTGACGGAGTTCAGGACATGCTCTCTAGCTGCAGGCGCCCAAGCTTGCCACTTGCATGTGCTTCGAAGCATCATGCGGCCAAAGACCGCTTTACCAATCACCCCTGACGTCCCTACGAGTGTTCTTGCTGAGGGCATTGCTCCCGCCAGTCGCACAGCACTCATGACAGCCTGCGAACGCTGGGACCTCAGCGGGGCCAAGGTGAAGTCACATATATACATAAGTATATATATATATATATATCTGCAGATATATATATATATATATATACACACCAATAGACAACTATATATGGTGTGTATATATGCATATATATATATATATACATATATTACAGTTCCTACATATGCCGAAGTGTCCCCAACGCAGCCCTAATTTTAAGAATCCTCGGGTGTTTCTCTGGGGCCCCTCCTCCCTTCTTGAGGTGGCGACCTGGCCTTGGCAAGAAGCTTGCTGGCCGACGCCGCCGACGTCCAGGCGCAGGACTCCACTGGGCGCTCCGCCATCCTCTTTGCAGCCTCGGCGGCCAGCGTTCAGGTGCCAGAAGTCGCGTCAGTGCTTGTTGTAGGTTCAAGAAAAACCCTATAGCTACAGTCCCCCTAGAAACCATAAACCCTGAAGCCTATAACCCCTAGAAACCATGAAACCCTGAAGCCTATAAACCCTAAGCTATTTTATGCACAGCTTCCGCAGGTTCTCAGACTTCTGCTGGCCCATGCGGCGGATGTCATGAGCTGCAACTGCGCGGGGCATACTTGCGTCGGTGCCTTGGTCCTGTGTCGGCTCAGCCTCATCGGTCGCACCATGTGGTTTATAGGGTTTAGGGTTTAGGGTTTAGGGTTTAGGGTTTAGGGTTTAGGGTTTAGGGTTTAGGGTTGCTTCTGCGGATGCTGCAGAGGCAACGCGTGGATGCTTCCTACTAAGGTGATGTATGCAGTCGGCGCTGGCCTGCAGGTGCATGGGTGGTTTGCCGTTTTGACGGCCCTCATGGCAAACCGTGTGCCCTATCGGAAGAGGACAGCTCCAAAGCTGCGCAGCGCCTGGATGCCGTGCGCTTGCTGCTTGATGAAGGTCGCCTGGCCGCTGCATTCCAGTTCCAGCGGGCAATGAATCTCACAGACTATTCGCCACCCAGGTGCTACTGCCAATGGGGCAACCGGATACGGCCTTTCCGCGCTGATGCTAGCTGCGGCTTCAGGAGAGTGGGCATGGAGAGTTAAAGCATCCGTGAAAACCGAATTGTTGACAAAGAAGTCCTGTGTCGGCTTTTACACAGCTTCAGGACGTATCGACATGCTTGAGCTACTCATCCACCGGGCTGCCGACGTGAATGCTGCGACGGACATCTGGCCACACCAACTGAGCAGAGCATTTTGTTTGCCGTTCTCGGTCTTCCTGGTAAGATTGCCATGTGAGCAAATTTGCCGTGGAAGCGATGCCTAACCCCAACAGCGATGCCCCCAGAGATCATCGTTTTGATCGAGAAAACGATTCCTAACCCCAAGAACGATACCCTCAATGAAGTGTCTCAGTCCTGGCCTCTGGTTTTGCAGCGCGCTCACGTCATCATGACACCGAGACACCCTAAAAGTCCCCAAGAAACGATGGCACTTGCAGGACATTGGCTTGACACCTTTGACCATGGCAGCTGACAAAGGCATTTGCCACTGCCTGTGGTTGCCTTTGCGTCGAAGCACCTGTAGTGCAATGTCATTGCTTTCTCAATTGCTCCTCCATGTACGGTCGAGAGAGTCAGGCTCAAGCGAGCCCTCGCCCTCCCTATTTTTGCCTGCGTCAAGCTCGCAACGATGTCACAGCAAACTTCGGTGTCGGCATTCCTCATCTCTCGCATCCAGGAGCTGGGGGTACAGCATGTCTTCGGAATCCCGGGAGACTATGTGCTGCCTTTTTTTGATGAGCTGATCAAAGAGGGAAGCCCGGTCAAACATATCGGCACCTGCAACGAGCTCAATGCTGCTTACCTCGCAGACGGGTACAGCCGTGTGAAAGGGTTTGGGGTTGCCGCTGTGACCTATGGACCCGGTGCCTTCAACGCTGTCAATGCCGTGGCAGGGGCATACGATGCTCATGTCCCGCTACTCCTGATTTCGGGGGCGCCTCAAACAGCGAGATATCGCCAAGGCAACAAGCTGCTTCTGCATCATGCTGTCGGCAGTGACTTGGATGCTACCATCCGCGTATTCACACCCATCACTGCTGCTGCAGCTCGCATTGACGCAGTAGAGGAGGCCATTCCAACAGTTGACTGGCTGCTGCGGGTTGCCCTCGACCAGAAGAGGCCAGTCTACCTTGAGATCCCCTTCGACATGCAGAAGGCACAAATCCAAGTACCAGATCGCTTGAACTACCAGCCGCCGTGCAGTGACGAGCAAGCTCTTCACAGAGTCGTGGAGCAAGTTGCACGTGTCGTGAATAGTGCGGGGAAGGTGGGTGTGTTGGTTGGCGTGTTCATCGACAGGGAGGGCCTGCAACAGGTTGTGGAGGACATGTTGAGCGCCACCAAGCTCCCATTCGCCACTACGTTTGACCAAAAGGCCGGCTACCTAGAGTACCTCCCAAACTGCCTTGGCTTCTATCAGGGAGGCATTTGTGCGCAGGCGGTGCGCGATGCCACCGAAGGTGCCGACATCCTCTTGACTCTCGGGATGCCGCGGACAGAGTTCAATCTGGGCTTTCTTACGCACGACTTCAAGGAGGATAAATTGGGAGGGTTTATAAGAGGGTGATGAGTTTTCGGCTTAGGGATGGTTCGGTGCTATGCTGCTCAGGGTCCGTGGGCGGTAGATCAGGACCGCATGATCGAGCTCGGCTATGATGCCGTCAACTTGCAGGGGGAAGTGGTGCATGGCGTTTACCTTCGGCAGCTGTTGCCGCTCCTGGCACAAAAGATCACCCCACGTGCTGAAGAGCTGGTGGAGGACACGTTTCCTTTCACTTACACGAAGCACAGGGCAGGTCCAGAGGACCGGCCGCTCACTGTGGACTTCATGTACCCTGAGCTCGCTCACTTTGTGCAGGAAGGCGACATTGTTACAGGCAACACTGGCGGCTACATCAACTTGTCCAGAATGCGCATGAAGAAGGGCAACACCACGGCCGGTCCCACCAACTGGGCGTCCTTGGGGAGCGTGTTTCCAATTTCCGTTGGCATGGCTTTTGCTGCACCTGAGCGTCGCATCGTCTGCCTTGAGGGCGATGGATCCTTTCAAATGACTGGTATGGAGCTCGGCACAGTTCTGCGACACAATCTCAACTTCCTCCTCATAATCCTGAACAATGCAGGGTATACGGCCGAGCGTGCCATCCATCCGGAGCGGGACGACTCCTACAACGACATTCAAGTGTGGAACTATCACTTGCTGCCTGAGGCACTGGGTGGCAGGCCAGGTTCAAACGGCATCGACGTGCTCACGGAGTCTCAGTTCACTGAGGCCCTAGCAGCTTACGAGTTCGGTAAGGGCTTGCACGTGGTGAATGCAAGGCTGGACAAGATGGACATCCCCAGCTTCTTCCGTGAGATGAGTGACCCGCTGCGCCATTGAGACTTTCATAGGTTGAATAATCCATATAATGCTTAACATATCTTTTGGGTTTTCATGGAAAATCATATATGGGTTGGGGTCTGGGAAGGGTCATGTTTGGTCTTGAGGCGTCCGAAGTCGGGATTGGTCTTTAAAAATATGGTCTCGGCTTGCGTTTACGAAGCAAACCTAGTAGAAAAAATACATCTGGGTTGGGGCCTGGGGAGGGTCATGTTTGGTCTTGAGGCGTCCGAAGTCGGGATTGGTCTTTAAAAATATGGTCTCGGCTTGCGTTTTGCGAAGCAAACCTAGTAGAAAAACACATCTGGGTTGGGGCCTGGGGAGGGTCATGTCTGGTTTTGAGGCATCGTAAGTCGGGATTGGTCGTAAGAAACATGGCCTCGGCTGGCGCTGAGGAAGTCAGTGTCATATACAAGAAATTGTGGGCCGCGCTATTGTGCAACCAGGTGTAGCCTAGCTCCTTCTAGAGCGACAAAAACTTCTGGACACGTCCATGAAGCGTCGGTCACGGGTAGAAGTTTTCATCGGAGTTGAAAAAAATCATGGAAGAACGCAGTGCCCCTGAAGCAAGATCCATGCGCCGTAGGATTGAAAACACCCTCCTCAACTTTTCCGAAACATACACAGGCGGTGTCTCTTCGTGAAAGATCCTGGCGCGCGCGCGCCCATGCCTAGGTTGTAAGTTGTAAGTGGCAAGCAAACACCACAAAAAAAAAAAACTCGACTAGTTTCTGACACGAAAACATGGGCCCCTTGCCCACCCCCCGCCCCCCAAACGCACCCCCACCATCGCACGGTTCCTTCCTAGCCCCAGCCCCACAGCCCCAGCCCCAAGCCCCCCCAGCCCCAGCCCCAGCCCCAGCCCCAGCCCCAGCCCCAGCCCAGCCCCAGCCCCAGCAGCCCCAAAGCCCCAGCCCCGCCCACCAGCCCAGTTCCAGCCCCCGCCCCAGCCCCAGCCCCAGCCCCAGCCCCAGCCCCAGCCCCAGGCCCAGCCCCAGCCCCAGCCCCAGCCCCAACCCCAGCCCCAGCCCCAGCCCCAGCCCCAGCCCCAGCCCCAGCCCCCAGCCCCAGCCCCAGCCCCAGCCCCAGCCCCAGCCCCAGCCCCAGCCCCAGCCAGGTGGGCTGGAGGGGGAGGGGGCTGGAGGGGCTGGAGGGGCGGAGGGGCTGGAGGGGCGGAGGGGCTGGAGGAGGCTGGAGGGGGCTGCAGGGGGAGTCAGATGCGAGTAGCATCATTAAGTCAAGCAGTTTTGTCCGCCAGACTGGCCTCCATCGAGAACAAAACAGGAAACAGTTTCGATAACAATCTTCACGAGGCTTGAGTAAGCCCAATATTTCTAGGAGCAAGTCCAAGATTTCTCAGGATTCATGACAAGGTCAAGCCCCGAAACTTGCAGGGCGGATCCCGGTTTTCAGCGATCTGAACCAAGTTTTTAATGTAATAAACCGCAGACAAATCCCAGATTTCAGATGAGTAGATCCAAGATTCTACTTAGACAGAACCCAGATTTCCGGCCACAAGACCGCAGACAGAACCCAGATTTCCGGCCACAAGACCGCAGACAGAACCCAGATTTCCGGCCACAAGACCGCAGACAGAACCCAGATTTCCGGCCACAAGACCTGAGAAAAAACCCGCCTGACGACACCGACTTTTGGGGATATGTTAAGCATTATATGGATTATTCAATTCATAGGCTTTCAGTGACCCGCAGGCCTGCAAAACAGAAGCAGGATGCGAAGGATGCGAAGGATGCGAAGGCATTCTCTTAGGACAATCCCTGATGCTTCTTGCATGTGACGTGTCTGATATGTACGCCGACATTGTACAGGTCCCGGCCAGCGCAAAGCCCTCCCGCACCTGTAGAGAGGGACTCGCTTTGCCTGGCTCGGCACTGCGGCGGAGATGTACAGGTGATGCTCAGCCTAAGCACGTCAAAAAGATAGCAACAGGCATGATACCACCGAGAACATACCGCAGGGCACGACGAGGCTGTGAGGCTGCTGTTGCAAAGCGTTGCCCCGCCTTCCAGTCAGGCTCAAGCACGCCCTTGCCCTCCCTATTTTTGCCTGCGTCAAGCTCGCAACGATGTCACAGCAAACTTCGGTGTCGGCATTCCTCATCTCTCGCATCCAGGAGCTGGGGGTACAGCATGTCTTCGGAATCCCGGGAGACTATGTGCTGCCTTTTTTTGATGAGCTGATCAAAGAGGGAAGCCCGGTCAAACATATCGGCACCTGCAACGAGCTCAATGCTGCTTACCTCGCAGACGGGTACAGCCGTGTGAAAGGGTTTGGGGTTGCCGCTGTGACCTATGGACCCGGTGCCTTCAACGCTGTCAATGCCGTGGCAGGGGCATACGATGCTCATGTCCCGCTGCTTCTGATTTCGGGGGCACCTCAAACAGCGAGATATCGCCAAGGCAACAAGCTGCTTCTGCATCATGCTGTCGGCAGTGACTTGGATGCTACCATCCGCGTATTCACACCCATCACTGCTGCTGCAGCTCGCATTGACGCAGTAGAGGAGGCCATTCCAACAGTTGACTGGCTGCTGCGGGTTGCCCTCGACCAGAAGAGGCCAGTCTACCTTGAGATCCCCTTCGACATGCAGAAGGCACAAATCCAAGTACCAGATCGCTTGAACTACCAGCCGCCGTGCAGTGACGAGCAAGCTCTTCACAGAGTCGTGGAGCAAGTTGCACGTGTCGTGAATAGTGCGGGGAAGGTGGGTGTGTTGGTTGGCGTGTTCATCGACAGGGAGGGCCTGCAACAGGTTGCGGAGGACATGTTGAGCGCCACCAAGCTCCCATTCGCCACTACGTTTGACCAAAAGGCCGGCTACCTAGAGTACCTCCCAAACTGCCTTGGCTTCTATCAGGGAGGCATTTGTGCGCAGGCGGTGCGCGATGCCACCGAAGGTGCCGACATCCTCTTGACTCTCGGGATGCCGCGGACAGAGTTCAATCTGGGCTTTCTTACGCACGACTTCAAGGAGGATAAATTGGGAGGGTTTATAAGAGGGTGATGAGTTTTCGGCTTAGGGATGGTTCGGTGCTATGCTGCTCAGGGTCCGTGGGCGGTAGATCAGGACCGCATGATCGAGCTCGGCTACGATGCCGTCAACTTGCAGGGGGAAGTGGTGCATGGCGTTTACCTTCGGCAGCTGTTGCCGCTCCTGGCACAAAAGATCACCCCACGTGCTGAAGAGCTGGTGGAGGACACGTTTCCTTTCACTTACACGAAGCACAGGGCAGGTCCAGAGGACCGGCCGCTCACTGTGGACTTCATGTACCCTGAGCTCGCTCACTTTGTGCAGGAAGGCGACATTGTTACAGGCAACACTGGCGGCTACATCAACTTGTCCAGAATGCGCATGAAGAAGGGCAACACCACGGCCGGTCCCACCAACTGGGCGTCCTTGGGGAGCGTGTTTCCAATTTCCGTTGGCATGGCTTTTGCTGCACCTGAGCGTCGCATCGTCTGCCTTGAGGGCGATGGATCCTTTCAAATGACTGGTATGGAGCTCGGCACAGTTCTGCGACACAATCTCAACTTCCTCCTCATAATCCTGAACAATGCAGGGTATACGGCCGAGCGTGCCATCCATCCGGAGCGGGACGACTCCTACAACGACATTCAAGTGTGGAACTATCACTTGCTGCCTGAGGCACTGGGTGGCAGGCCAGGTTCAAACGGCATCGACGTGCTCACGGAGTCTCAGTTCACTGAGGCCCTAGCAGCTTACGAGTTCGGTAAGGGCTTGCACGTGGTGAATGCAAGGCTGGACAAGATGGACATCCCCAGCTTCTTCCGTGAGATGAGTGACCCGCTGCGCCATTGAGACTTTCATAGGCTTTCAGTGACCCGCAGGCCTGCAAAACAGAAGCAGGATGCGAAGGATGCGAAGGATGCGAAGGCATTCTCTTAGGACAATCCCTGATGCTTCTTGTGACGTGTCTGATATGTACGCCGACATTGTACAGGTCCCGGCCAGCGCAAAGCCCTCCCGCACCTGTAGAGAGGGACTCGCTTTGCCTGGCTCGGCACTGCGGCGGAGATGTACAGGTGATGCTCAGCCTAAGCACGTCAAAAAGCTAGCAACAGGCATGATACCACCAAGAACATACCGCAGGGCACGACGAGGCTGTGAGGCTGCTGTTGCAAAGCGTTGCCCCGCCTTCCAGTCAGGCTCAAGCACGCCCTTGCCCTCCCTATTTTTGCCTGCGTCAAGCTCGCAACGATGTCACAGCAAACTTCGGTGTCGGCATTCCTCATCTCTCGCATCCAGGAGCTGGGGGTACAGCATGTCTTCGGAATCCCGGGAGACTATGTGCTGCCTTTTTTTGATGAGCTGATCAAAGAGGGAAGCCCGGTCAAACATATCGGCACCTGCAACGAGCTCAATGCTGCTTACCTCGCAGACGGGTACAGCCGTGTGAAAGGGTTTGGGGTTGCCGCCGTGACCTATGGACCCGGTGCCTTCAACGCTGTCAATGCCGTGGCAGGGGCATACGATGCTCATGTCCCGCTACTCCTGATTTCGGGGGCGCCTCAAACAGCGAGATATCGCCAAGGCAACAAGCTGCTTCTGCATCATGCTGTCGGCAGTGACTTGGATGCTACCATCCGCGTATTCACACCCATCACTGCTGCTGCAGCTCGCATTGACGCAGTAGAGGAGGCCATTCCAACAGTTGACTGGCTGCTGCGGGTTGCCCTCGACCAGAAGAGGCCAGTCTACCTTGAGATCCCCTTCGACATGCAGAAGGCACAAATCCAAGTACCAGATCGCTTGAACTACCAGCCGCCGTGCAGTGACGAGCAAGCTCTTCACAGAGTCGTGGAGCAAGTTGCACGTGTCGTGAATAGTGCGGGGAAGGTGGGTGTGTTGGTTGGCGTGTTCATCGACAGGGAGGGCCTGCAACAGGTTGCGGAGGACATGTTGAGCGCCACCAAGCTCCCATTCGCCACTACGTTTGACCAAAAGGCCGGCTACCTAGAGTACCTCCCAAACTGCCTTGGCTTCTATCAGGGAGGCATTTGTGCGCAGGCGGTGCGCGATGCCACCGAAGGTGCCGACATCCTCTTGACTCTCGGGATGCCGCGGACAGAGTTCAATCTGGGCTTTCTTACGCACGACTTCAAGGAGGATCAACTGGGAGGGTTTATAAGAGGGTGATGAGTTTTCGGCTTAGGGATGGTTCGGTGCTATGCTGCTCAGGGTCCGTGGGCGGTAGATCAGGACCGCATGATCGAGCTCGGCTACGATGCCGTCAACTTGCAGGGGGAAGTGGTGCATGGCGTTTACCTTCGGCAGCTGTTGCCGCTCCTGGCACAAAAGATCACCCCACGTGCTGAAGAGCTGGTGGAGGACACGTTTCCTTTCACTTACACGAAGCACAGGGCAGGTCCAGAGGACCGGCCGCTCACTGTGGACTTCATGTACCCTGAGCTCGCTCACTTTGTGCAGGAAGGCGACATTGTTACAGGCAACACGGGCGGCTACATCAACTTGTCCAGAATGCGCATGAAGAAGGGCAACACCACGGCCGGTCCCACCAACTGGGCGTCCTTGGGGAGCGTGTTTCCAATTTCCGTTGGCATGGCTTTTGCTGCACCTGAGCGTCGCATCGTTTGCCTTGAGGGCGATGGATCCTTTCAAATGACTGGTATGGAGCTCGGCACAGTTCTGCGACACAATCTCAACTTCCTCCTCATAATCCTGAACAATGCAGGGTATACGGCCGAGCGTGCCATCCATCCGGAGCGGGACGACTCCTACAACGACATTCAAGTGTGGAACTATCACTTGCTGCCTGAGGCACTGGGTGGCAGGTCAGGTTCAAACGGCATCGACGTGCTCACGGAGTCTCAGTTCACTGAGGCCCTAGCAGCTTACGAGTTCGGTAAGGGCTTGCACGTGGTGAATGCAAGGCTGGACAAGATGGACATCCCCAGCTTCTTCCGTGAGATGAGTGACCCGCTGCGCCATTGAGACTTTCATAGGCTTTCAGTGACCCGCAGGCCTGCAAAACAGAAGCAGGATGCGAAGGATGCGAAGGATGCGAAGGCATTCTCTTAGGACAATCCCTGATGCTTCTTGCATGTGACGTGTCTGATATGTACGCCGACATTGTACAGGTCCCGGCCAGCGCAAAGCCCTCCCGCACCTGTAGAGAGGGACTCGCTTTGCCTGGCTCGGCACTGCGGCGGAGATGTACAGGTGATGCTCAGCCTAAGCACGTCAAAAAGATAGCAACAGGCATGATACCACCAAGAACATACCGCAGGGCACGACGAGGCTGTGAGGCTGCTGTTGCAAAGCGTTGCCCCGCCTTCCAGTCAGGCTCAAGCACGCCCTTGCCCTCCCTATTTTTGCCTGCGTCAAGCTCGCAACGATGTCACAGCAAACTTCGGTGTCGGCATTCCTCATCTCTCGCATCCAGGAGCTGGGGGTACAGCATGTCTTCGGAATCCCGGGAGACTATGTGCTGCCTTTTTTTGATGAGCTGATCAAAGAGGGAAGCCCGGTCAAACATATCGGCACCTGCAACGAGCTCAATGCTGCTTACCTCGCAGACGGGTACAGCCGTGTGAAAGGGTTTGGGGTTGCCGCCGTGACCTATGGACCCGGTGCCTTCAACGCTGTCAATGCCGTGGCAGGGGCATACGATGCTCATGTCCCGCTACTCCTGATTTCGGGGGCGCCTCAAACAGCGAGATATCGCCAAGGCAACAAGCTGCTTCTGCATCATGCTGTCGGCAGTGACTTGGATGCTACCATCCGCGTATTCACACCCATCACTGCTGCTGCAGCTCGCATTGACGCAGTAGAGGAGGCCATTCCAACAGTTGACTGGCTGCTGCGGGTTGCCCTCGACCAGAAGAGGCCAGTCTACCTTGAGATCCCCTTCGACATGCAGAAGGCACAAATCCAAGTACCAGATCGCTTGAACTACCAGCCGCCGTGCAGTGACGAGCAAGCTCTTCACAGAGTCGTGGAGCAAGTTGCACGTGTCGTGAATAGTGCGGGGAAGGTGGGTGTGTTGGTTGGCGTGTTCATCGACAGGGAGGGCCTGCAACAGGTTGCGGAGGACATGTTGAGCGCCACCAAGCTCCCATTCGCCACTACGTTTGACCAAAAGGCCGGCTACCTAGAGTACCTCCCAAACTGCCTTGGCTTCTATCAGGGAGGCATTTGTGCGCAGGCGGTGCGCGATGCCACCGAAGGTGCCGACATCCTCTTGACTCTCGGGATGCCGCGGACAGAGTTCAATCTGGGCTTTCTTACGCACGACTTCAAGGAGGATCAACTGGGAGGGTTTATAAGAGGGTGATGAGTTTTCGGCTTAGGGATGGTTCGGTGCTATGCTGCTCAGGGTCCGTGGGCGGTAGATCAGGACCGCATGATCGAGCTCGGCTACGATGCCGTCAACTTGCAGGGGGAAGTGGTGCATGGCGTTTACCTTCGGCAGCTGTTGCCGCTCCTGGCACAAAAGATCACCCCACGTGCTGAAGAGCTGGTGGAGGACACGTTTCCTTTCACTTACACGAAGCACAGGGCAGGTCCAGAGGACCGGCCGCTCACTGTGGACTTCATGTACCCTGAGCTCGCTCACTTTGTGCAGGAAGGCGACATTGTTACTGGCAACACGGGCGGCTACATCAACTTGTCCAGAATGCGCATGAAGAAGGGCAACACCACGGCCGGTCCCACCAACTGGGCGTCCTTGGGGAGCGTGTTTCCAATTTCCGTTGGCATGGCTTTTGCTGCACCTGAGCGTCGCATCGTTTGCCTTGAGGGCGATGGATCCTTTCAAATGACTGGTATGGAGCTCGGCACAGTTCTGCGACACAATCTCAACTTCCTCCTCATCATCCTGAACAATGCAGGGTATACGGCCGAGCGTGCCATCCATCCGGAGCGGGACGACTCCTACAACGACATTCAAGTGTGGAACTATCACTTGCTGCCTGAGGCACTGGGTGGCAGGTCAGGTTCAAACGGCATCGACGTGCTCACGGAGTCTCAGTTCACTGAGGCCCTAGCAGCTTACGAGTTCGGTAAGGGCTTGCACGTGGTGAATGCAAGGCTGGACAAGATGGACATCCCCAGCTTCTTCCGTGAGATGAGTGACCCGCTGCGCCATTGAGACTTCCATAGGCTTTCAGTGACCCGCAGGCCTGCAAAACAGAAGCAGGATGCGAAGGATGCGAAGGATGCGAAGGCATTCTCTTAGGACAATCCCTGATGCTTCTTGTGACGTGTCTGATATGTACGCCGACATTGTACAGGTCCCGGCCAGCGCAAAGCCCTCCCGCACCTGTAGAGAGGGACTCGCTTTGCCTGGCTCGGCACTGCGGCGGAGATGTACAGGTGATGCTCAGCCTAAGCACGTCAAAAAGATAGCAACAGGCATGATACCGCCAAGAACCCGTGGCATTCAACACCTCGTCACATGGCGCTGTGCCTGCTGCAGGGCACGACGAGGCTGTGAGGCTGCTGCTGCAAAGCGCCGCGAACCCCAACCACCGCTACTCGCATCTCTACTGAAGTCTGCCAAATCTGAGAGAGGCTGTCAGAGGCGTCAAAGCAGTCGTGCAATTCCTACGATGCATGTCCGTACGCTTGAGGAACGGCAAGACGGCCCTCATGGGAGCTGCCGCATTGGCGCACCTTAGCCCGAAGCTGTCGGAAAGGAATCTGTATGGTGTGGCTAGCTCTGACTTCGCTGTGCGGCCCTTTGAACCATTTTGAACCATTTTGAACCCTAAACTCAGAATCCTTAGCTTCCTGAGCCCCGATCTGTGGCCGTGCTCGTGTGGGATCGAGGCACACGGCCGTTGTCGTCGAGCTACTGGAGTATCGGGCAGACGTCAATGCACGGTCCGGCGACGGCCAGTCCCCTCTTCTGCAGCCTGGCGCTTCTATTGTTTCCGGGTTTAGAGGTTAGGGTTTAGGGTTTAGGGTTTAGGGTTTAGGGTTTAGGGAGGTGTGCAAAGGGTGCAAACAAGCTCGGCTTGCCATCGTTGTGATGCGCTGATGCACTGCCCGCCTCACTCTTCACTCTTCAAGTATGCTCATGTCGGACAATATCAACAGCTTTCCCATTCGTACACGTGCCGTTGTCAGGTATGCCGTCGAGACTGGGCTCAAGGACCCACAACAGTGTCCTGGCATTTCCTGGGGTGTCTCAAAAAGCAGTGACATTCATCCGAAGCGAAATCTGCAACACCCGACACGATCCTGAAATGCCTGCCTCGTTGACATCAGCCGCCTAAATCTCCTCATCCGTCATCGACTCTAAACCCTCCTATTTCAAGACTCCTTTATCCTAAACTCTCGTGAAGCAAAAACATAAACCCAAGCTGCTAGGATGGCCTGGTCTGCCCAGTGCCGGGCGAGGTGCACAAGCCGGGTGCGGAGGCACCAGGGAGGGATGCTCTGCTGCGGCATATTGGCGAGTTGCTCGAAATGAGGGATACTAATTAGGGCTCCTTTGAAGCACCTTTTTGTGTCTTTTTGTAAATGGAGACCCGAAGTCACCTCCACCCAGAAGCACAAAAGGAGGTAGGGTGAACCTCTGCTCAGTGGCATGCGCGAAAGATGTGGGGGGGTTTTGGGGGCACTTGCCAAGGCGACAACGAAGGCGCTTCTAATGGCAGACCTTTGGCAGCACTTCGTCTTTTTGTGTTATTAAGACCCTAAACTTTGGCCCTAAACCTTTAAATCCCCAAGCCCTAAACCCTTAAATCCCCTAAATCCCCTAAACCCTAAACCCTAAGGGTACTATGCCCTTGTCTTCAAGGCTGCAGATCCAGAGCTGACTGGCCCCAGGCAGCTCCAATGAGTTCAGCATGTTTTTTTTCTCTCCCAAGAATTCGCCGCTAGATGTCGGGCCATGCTTCACCTGCTTCTGTGGCATGCAACTCTGTCATGGAGTACATCTTCGTCCTGGCACGAGTTGGGTGGTGGTTTGCAAGGGGGGGGGGGCCTGGAAGCAGGCAGCGGACGCCTTTGCACATCAGCGCCGCGTATGGGAGCGTGAAGCTGGCAGCGCTGCTGCTGTCGGCCGGCGCTTCCTTAGACGCCTTGGACGAGGACGCCCCTCAAAAGAGTCACCACGTACTGCACTGGACACAAGATGGCACAAGATGAAGGCCTGTAGGGCTCTATAGGGTTTCATCCGTCTCATGGCTTAGAGTTCAATATGGTTCAATCCTCAGCCTATCAGCTCGAAGGTTGAGGGGAGGGAGTGGGATGAAGCCTGTGAGGATGGCAAATGCCCCATGGACCACGCGCCGCCCGGGTTCTTGATGGCTGCGCAAGCCGCGTCACAAGCTGTGATAGGCGGGGGGGGGAGGGGGGGGCAACTGCCCTTTGGGGCTTAGTGTTTAGGGTTTCGGGTGGTGGTGTGTGTAAATAAAGCTCGAACCATCAGCATACAGCACGCAGGCCAGAAGCCTTGCACAAGCGTTGTTGCTGTGAGACGGTAACCTGCAAAAATCAGAAGATACTGAGATACTCGAAGTTTCAATCGCTTAAAATCCATAGCTCAACGCGTTCATGGTCTGGCAAGGAATCGGGGAAGCCAAGAGACAGCAAGATGAGGGCTACAAGGACTGGCTGTCATGACCTCAAAGAGATGTCAATGTCAAGCTCGCCTTCGGCTTCTCGCTTTGAGCCGTTTTCTGATCGGCCCTACTTACGTGTTTTCTGTATAGGTTGCCTCCGTGCAGGGTGTTTATTTCAATGACAAAAACCTACAAGGTAAGCCCTGAAACCCAAGCCCAAAGCGATTCGCCCAGAGCGACAACGGTGAAATGCGCAGGGGCCAGCTCTGAACTCCAAATCCTAACCCCCAAACCCTCAGCCCTATAAACCCTAAACCCTTTCAACCCGAGACCTTATTAAACAAAAAAGAAATAAAACAAAGGCAAAGTCTCAGCGAGCTCTGCCTACGCTGCTTGCCAGCGAGGGGCTCGGACTGATGGGCCAGTGGATGGAGCATAAGCTCACAGGTCTTAGGGCTTTTTGGGGGCTGAGAGGGTTTACGGGGCTTTTTCGGGTTTACAGTTTACAGGGTTTATAGGGTTAGCGGTTTAGGGGTTTAGGATGGTTTAGGGGTTGGGTTTCTCGCAGGGACTAGGGCTTTGATAGGCTTTGGTGTTAAGGTCTGTAGGGTTTAGGGTTGAACGTTTTTGTGGCCTTGCGTCGAACGACCTCTCTCTCATCCATGATATCATTTTTCTCACGCCTTTTCCTCCGTACAGCCCCCCCCCCCCCCCAAAAAAAAAAAAAAAAAAAACACCCGATATCCCCCTCTCACCAGTCGAAGACATTCCCATTGCTGTGCAGGCTTGCGCGTGCTGTGGCGGCACAGTTGGGCTGAGCCAAAACGAGCGCACCGTAATCTGCACTGTTTGGGGTGTAGGGTTTAGGGTGAGGGTTTAGGATTTAGGATTTAGGGTTTAGGGTGAGGGTTGAGGATTTAGGGTTTAGGGTTGAGGATTTAGGGTTTAGGATGTGGGGTTTAGGGTTTACTGTGGGTTTTAGGGTCATGCTGTGTCGGTGCTAGAAGTGCCCATCAGTCCACCTCAAGCCTTAACTCCCCGAAGCCCTCCGAAGACTTCCTTTCGAACCCCCCTATGTGTTCTACCCTAAACCCTGAGCCCTTATGCAAAGATGAGCCTACAAGGATACAAACCTCCAAGCCACTCACCCTAAGCCGTGAACCCTAAGCCCTAAACCCTTACCCCTAAACCCTAAACCCCAAAACCTAACCCTAAACCCTAAACCCTAAACCCCTACCTCTAAAAAGCGCTTAGCACACCCATGCGGAAGCCCGATCTGCAATGCTTGGCCCACAGACCGGCTCCTAGTCATGGGGGAGCCTGGCGGAACCCAGGCCGGGGTGCTAAACCGGTTAGGGTTTAGGGTTTAGGGTTTAGGGTTTCGGGTTCAGGGTTTGGGGTTTGGGATTTGGCGGTTCGCGTTTAGGGTTTTAGGGTTGAGGGTTTAGGGGGGAACTCCTGTTGCTAGAATGCAAGTGAGCTGCATTTGCGGAAAACCGAACCTCGGCTATGGGCCATTTTCGTGCACGACTGGAAAGCCACCCCCCCCCCCCAAAAAAAAAAAATCAAATATCAAAAAGCAACAATAATAAGAATAATCATAGTAGTAATAATGATAATGACAATAATGATAGTAATAATATTATCTAATAACCATAATAGTAAACAATTATAGTATACCAATAACAAAAAATGCAACAAAAGCGAAGTAAGACTATAAACTCGCAAAGGCGTCTTTCCAAAAGCTTTCCGGGATGATCCTTCTAAGCCCCCCACATCTACTCAAAGAACCCCCGCGGTTCGTCTCCTCATGTCTCCTCGAGGACCATGAGTGTATGAGGCGCCAAAGGTGGGCGCCTCAGGGAGGGGGTCGTTTCGGGCTAAGGGGTCAGAGGGGGTGTCGTTTTTTGAGTTAAGGATTATAGGGGTGTGAGGTTTAGGGTTTAGGGTTTTGAGGCTTAGAAGTTGAGGGGCTCTGGGCGTTGAGGGTTTTGATGGGTTTCGAGGTTTGAGGCTTCAGGGTCTTTCCAGAAGCATCCAGGCGGAGCAATGGCCACTAACTCTCTAGGCGTTTTGAATATGCAGGGCACGTAGACGGGGGGCTCCAAGGGACCTACCCCAAAGCCTCCAAACCCTGAGGTATGCGCCTTCAGGTTCTTCAAACCCAGGGCCTTCCGCCCAACAGCGTCCTCTCAGCGCAGCTCTCAGCATGCCGGTGGAGACCAGCCCCTTGAGGGTTCGGGTTCCGGGCTTAGGGCTCAGAGTGGTTCAGGGGGTGTAGGGGTTTTGGGTGTTTTAGAGAAGGGCATCGAAACACTCAACTCGAATTCCCCCCCCCCCCCCTCCGGAAACCCCTCATGCGGAACCCTAAACTCCCTCCGCTACATGTGCCCTAAAAAGCCCGAAACTCGAAACTCCCTCCCCCAATATGCGCCTAAACCCTAAACCCTAAACCCTAAACCCTAAACCCTAAACCCTAAACCCTAAACCCTAAACCCTAAACCCTAAACCCTAAACCCTAAACCTTAATTGCCAGGTTAAGTCTGGCAGCTCCAGGCGCCAGCAGCTGCTGCCATGCCAGGCAAGGGCTCGACGTGCGAGGGTTTCGGGCTTCGGGCTTCTCTAAAGTCGGGTCCCTTCCGCGTGCTTTTTTTAAGATGCCTATGATGGGACCCTGGCCCTAAAGCACGCCTACGTATGCTCTTATGTTGGTGCGTAGGCTTTAGAGCCATACTTTATAGGGCGCCTGCTTCAGAGGCGCCCTTCAAGGTGGATCAGCCGCGCCAACCTTACGACTTGCTCCTTTGGCTCCTCCTGAGATGCCTCAAGTCCCCATAAGGCCGGTGCCGGTGCAGCTGGACGTGCTGACCTATGCTGCGAAGGGGCAGGAGGCTGTCGGTTTGTTCTAGAGGCTTTATGAGAGCAACGCGCCGCCCGGGTTACTGAGTTCCGTTCCCTCCTCAACAGTTGAAACGGATATTCGTTCTTTACATACCCACACCCCCCCCCCCACCCGAAGGTGTCACATATGTTCATCCTTAAGCAAACTTGTCTTCACAGAGCAGCTCCCTCCGTGCACGTCAGGTCCGAGAAATGCAGGGGCAGCTAGAATGCTAGAAGCGACCGGAAGCTGACCGGAAGTATAAGCAAAGGTAGTAAGGCCATGGCCAGCCTACCTGTCACGAGTCGTGGCATGTAGGTCCTACCCGATCCGTCCGAGCAGTTCCTGAAGGCCGGTCAGGGCCAATCTGGTTGTTTTCGGGCTTGTTTTCGGGCCTATAGGGCGGGTTGAAGGACGTCGACGTGGCTTTGTGTAGGTGGAACTGACAACCGGTGCCTGTGCAGGTCCCTCTGAGCAAGGGCGGCAGGAACATGAGCGTTCCTGCACCAAGTGGGTTCTCTGTGCCTCGGATGCTGAGTGTCCGCGGTTTTCCCGACATCCTTTGAGGTGACCTTCCGGATACAGAAAGGGGATCCTGGCGCCGGCGTCTGGCCCACAGATGTGATCCCTGTCTCCACTCCCTTTCCCAGGCTGGTTGGTTGGTGACTCTCATCCCAGCTGCTAAGGAGACCGGCCAGAGTGCAGAGATGAGCAGGAAGGACAAGGAGCGCCTTTTGTGCCGTTCGCAACCCTGTGGGCACGTGCGCCGGCCTTCTTCTGAAGCAGACAGGCAGCTCTCATTGAATCGTATCTCGCCAAGCACAGGCTGTCTGATCCTGAGATTCCTGAGCGTCCCAACGCTCCTTCGAGGGCCTCTGGCCCATCTTGTCATGGAGGAGTCCATCTTGTCTTATCACCACTGAGGCACGATTTCATGAAAGAGGTGTTCCAGGGACTCACTGCAGAGCAGCCTGAGGAGCAGCGCTGCGTGTGCTGGTACTGCAGCGTGCAACAAGTCTACCTTCGCATAGCACTCACCGATTCTGGTGGTGTGGCTTGCAAGTGCACCAGGATCCCTTCCTCTACATAGGAAGGCCGGCCATGGGTCAAACATGGTCAAACCATTTAAAGTGTAGGCTTAGTTCTTAAGATACAAGTGTTCATAGAGTTCATTCAGGGTTTAACGGGCAAGGAGTTTCGATGTTTCGTGCGCTTGAAGGTGTTTGCAAGCCGCTGCTGCAAAGGACGCGGCCTGCCAGGCGCCTGACTTGGATCTATAGAACATTCTGATCAAATCTACTCTCCACGAAGAGTAAACAACTAAACAACACAGCTATCAAGGACAAAGCTTTAAACTCAGCCAAAACCCTGTAAACCATACACAACCCCAAGCCTGAACTCTTGATTGCGCTCCTCTTGGCGCGCCTAGGTAAAGGCATTTGGCCCTTATCATGGGCCCTTGGTCTTCTTTGGTAGATCCTAAGAACTACATACATTCATACATCGTACATACACATACATGATTAATTATGTTAGTTTTCTATATACATATACACATATACTATATACGTATATGTATATATATATATATATATATATGCGTGTGTGTGTGTGTGTGTGTGTGTGTGTGTGTGTGTGTGTGTGTGTGTGTGTGTGTGTGTGTGTGTGTGTGTGTGTGTGTGTGTGGTGTGTGTGTGTGTGTGTGTGTGTGTGTGTGTGTGTGTGTGTGTGTGTGTGTGTGTGTGTGTGTGTGTGTGTGTGTGTGTGTGTGTGTGTGTCTGTGTGTGTGTGTGAGCTGGCTTATAAGGAGCCGATGTCGAGGGCCCGAAAATCTAAGCCATAGAGAAATACAGTCGAGGGCTCAGACATATCCGTCAGAGGATGCCCCAGCATGGGAAGGTGGTCTTTCTAGTGGACATGGCCTGGCCTAGAATAAATCGTGTGGTTGAGTTGCTCTTGGGTCTGTTGCGTGTGTTCGTGTAGGGGTCTGTGATATGCCTAGGGGGGGGGGGGTGTAGTGAGAGAATGGACATGGCCGTCGCTAACTACTTACGGAATAGCAACTCACAGCTCCTACACTCGACATCACCAGACCAAGTGCCAACCCTTCACCCAGAACCCAGTGCCAACCCGTCACGCAGAACCTAAACCCTGTTTCTTGGTGTCTCTCGGCTAATTATGACGTGGCGTTTCGAGGCTGACTCGAATGCCTTTTGCCAGGCTGGCGTTGCGCAAGAGACCGGCGCAGTTCTCAGCAGTGCTGGCCATTACAATCCCTCACAAGAATACGACAACCTTATAAGAAGGACCCCCCAAAAGAACCCGACTTGGCAATACTGTGGAAGTAGTTGCGACACACTCCAAGGTCCAAGCCCTGCAGTCGACAACTCGGTGCCTCCACTGCACAGATGGCATCCGATAATTTTCATTGATTCATGGTTTCAGCATGTGTCGGTTTGTCTACGCAGACACCTGCCAGGCTGCCCAGCAGAAAAAGGCGTCGGTGTTGCAGAGGTCTGTGGCACTGCAAGACGCAGTGAGATACCTCGAACCTGCCTGTCACAGTCACACACGCGGCCCGCGCAGGCTACGGCGGAAAGCTCGCGAGAGCCTGGCCAAGGGATACTTGGACGGTCGACTGCAGTCCGCTTTGTGCAGCCTTCCAGTCCGCGTCTTGGAAAACTTACTGCTGGTTAGTAGGGAATGGGGGAATAAGGTACCATCTATCCCCCTATATATATATATACCCTTTCAGGTATTATACATGGTACCTTATTCACCCTTTCCCACAAAGCAACAGTAAGAAAAGGGGGGGGGAGGGGTCTTGCCTTTCTTACGCGCATTAGACAGCAGTTGCAGATACAGTTGTCCCAGGAGCACAGCGCAGATTTGTCCGTGCCTGAGTTTCGCGCCGTAGTACGTTGTAGCAAGTGTAGAAAACTAGTTGGGGGCGAGCGCATAATTCAAATCGAAGCTGTGCTTCGAAGCTGCTGTGAGTACGAAACTTAGGCTTCAGAGGCTTAGTCGGAAAAATGGGTTGTCCAGGTTCCCGGAAACCAATGCAGTCAGGAGCAGAGTTAAGTCTTTGGCGACATGCTCAAAGTGATGAAATTCAAAGAAGCGGGGCTACGTCTCTGAAGGTAGCCAAATGCCTCGTCTTCTAATCATTGACGCGCATGGATGGATGAACGGGGTTCCCACCGTCCCTATACTTACTATCTGTCAGAACCACAGCCAAGGAAACAGGAGGAGAGGCGGGGGGAATAATTAATACCTGGCGATCATGCGCAACCACTTGTATTTACAGCGTTTTGTCTCTTTGCACAACATACCGCACAAGGATCTTTGATGTAGCAGAACAACACACGCTGTCACAGGCATTCATGCCTTTGGCAAACATGCCCATGACTGGCATATTTACAGCCTTGTGGCCTCTCTGTACAGTTTCTGGAACAAGACGTGCTGTCACAAGCATTCGTACCTGCGCCAACGCCTTCTGAGGCCATCATAAAAACTACATCGCAAAGCTTTGTGAGAATCAAGAATCGGATTCCCCTTGTCCGCTCCAGTTCTGAGATGGTTGTTCGCTGCACAGGGAGCAGCCCAAAGGCAATCCTCGCCATGCAAGATAAGATTCCACTCTCCACCAGAGGCGTCCAAACATCAAGACAAAGGACCCTTGCCCCTAACCCTCAGAGCCAATCCTTTTCCCGCAAGTTGCGGATCCTCTTTGCCGACTTCCCTTACCTTCTCTGCTCTATAATTATCGTCCAGAGGCGACGAACTTGGAGACCTGATGCAGTTATGGGTGCGACCTGGGGAGTGAATGAGTCTGTCCTTCTTTTAGGGCAGTCGGGAGCTCAGCGGACACCTCGGAAGACACGGTGCTTTTACCCACAAGTAAACCCTATCTCCAGGGTAAAAGGCAAAAAGAAAAGACAACCCTTCCCAGGGCTCCCTCCTGTGTGGCTGAATTCTTTCACGTTGCGGTACAGTATCCGCGTCCGGGTTGGGGCCCTGAGAGATAGACAGCCCATGCCCAATTGTTGTTACGAGAACCCTAAAAACCACCAAATAAGCCGGGCAAGCATCGCGCCGCCTAAATGCTAGCGAGACGAAATCTGGCCGCACCCTAGCCCCAAGGCCACTGCCGAATTCACCACACGCTGGTGTGGCCCCAGCTCCCGCTGCCGGCTCTGCCTTTTGGCGGCAAATGTCGTGCAAGGGCTTGCACTGGATTTCTATGCTTCCCGCACAGCAAGGTGCAACACAGCCCTGAAGCTGTGCTGACTCCGGTGCAGAGGCTTGCCATTCGCAGACGTTTGATTTCTCTGCCTGCAGTACTTCCAGTCAGTAGCTTCGGATCTTCCGACTTCGGAAGCAGGCCAGCAGGCTCTGGAGAACCATTGCATGCGAAGGCTGCGGCGGAAAGCCCGCGAGACCCTGGCCAAGGGATACTTGGACGGGCGGCTGCAGTCTGCTCTGCGAAGTCTTCCAGTCCACACCTTAGCCGTGCGTGGGTCGCGTGCAGAGAACATCGTGGAACTGCATGACTGCATGAACAAGACTGCTGTTTGCAGAGTCGAGAGCGGTAGCAGTTGCAGATAGAGTTTCTCCAGGAGGGCACCGCAGATTTGTCCGCGCCTGAGTTGTGTGCCGTGGAATGCGGAAGCAACTCTAGTATCTTGTCGCCAGTTGCGTGCTGCCTGCATGCTAGCGAGAAGAAATCTGGCTGCACCCTAGCCCCAAGGCCACTGCTGAATTCACCACACGCTGGTGTGGCCCCAGCTCCCGCTGCCGGCTCTGCCTTTTGGCGGCAAATGTCGTGCAAGGGCTTGCACTGGATTTCTATGCATCCCGCACAGCAAGGTGCAACACAGCCCTGAAGCTGTGCTGACTCCGGTGCAGAGGCTTGCCATTCGCAGACGTTTGATTTCTCTGCCTGCAGTACTTCCAGTCAGTAGCTTCGGATCTTCCGACTTCGGAAGCAGGCCAGCAGGCTCTGGAGAACCATTGCATGCGAAGGCTGCGGCGGAAAGCCCGCGAGACCCTGGCCAAGGGATACTTGGACGGGCGGCTGCAGTCTGCTCTGCGAAGTCTTCCAGTCCACACCTTAGCCGTGCGTGGGTCGCGTGCAGAGAACATCGTGGAACTGCATGACTGCATGAACAAGACTGCTGTTTGCAGAGTCGAGAGCGGTAGCAGTTGCAGATAGAGTTTCTCCAGGAGGGCACCGCAGATTTGTCCGCGCCTGAGTTGTGTGCCGTGGAATGCGGAAGCAACTCTAGTATCTTGTCGCCAGTTGCGTGCTGCCTGCATGCTAGCGAGAAGAAATCTGGCTGCACCCTAGCCCCAAGGCCACTGCTGAATTCACCACACGCTGGTGTGGCCCCAGCTCCCGCTGCCGGCTCTGCCTTTTGGCGGCAAATGTCGTGCAAGGGCTTGCACTGGATTTCTATGCATCCCGCACAGCAAGGTGCAACACAGCCCTGAAGCTGTGCTGACTCCGGTGCAGAGGCTTGCCATTCGCAGACGTTTGATTTCTCTGCCTGCAGTACTTCCCGTCAGTAGCTTCGGATCTTCCGACTTCGGAAGCAGGCCAGCAGGCTCTGGAGAACCATTGCATGCGAAGGCTGCGGCGGAAAGCCCGCGAGACCCTGGCCAAGGGATACTTGGACGGGCGGCTGCAGTCTGCTCTGCGAAGTCTTCCAGTCCACACCTTAGCCGTGCGTGGGTCGCGTGCAGAGAACATCGTGGAACTGCATGACTGCATGAACAAGACTGCTGTTTGCAGAGTCGAGAGCGGTAGCAGTTGCAGATAGAGTTTCTCCAGGAGGGCACCGCAGATTTGTCCGCGCCTGAGTTGTGTGCCGTAGAATGCGGAAGCAACTCTAGTATCTTGTCGCCAGTTGCGTGCTGCCTGCATGCTAGCGAGAAGAAATCTGGCTGCACCGTAGCCCCAAGGCCTCTGCCGAATTCACCACACGCTGGTGTGGCCCCAGCTCCAGCTGGCGGCTCTGCCTTCTGGCGGCAAATGTCGTGCAAGGGCTTGCAATGGATGTCTTCCTTCCTGGGACTGTAAGGTCCAGCCGCACTGCCCTGAAGCAGCAGCTGGCACAGCGATGTGTCAGGAGCACGAAGCGGAAGTGTCCGTTCCCGAGCTCCTTGAATGACACGCCATGCCACCCCTCTTCCCTAAAAACAGTGCGGGAATCATGCTTTGCCCTGAGCAATCACGGATTCCAAGTACATGTGAAGTTCTCAATTCTCCACTTGTTGTTTCTTGCTGCCTTACGAGAAGATACAGCCAAGGCTCCCTCAGCATCCGGCAATGCAGGCGCAGCACCCCCTCTTTTTCGAGAGCAGCGTAAAATCTGTGGATGTGGGAATGTGCAGGTGCAGTCAGTGCAATATGAACAGCCCGTGGCCGGACTCGCGCCGCGGCCCCTAGCGGCCTAGGGACTTTATAGTTTATGCTTCCTTCGCGCACACCACATGCAAACACATCAGGGTCAGTCAGTTTCGCTCAGGGCTTCCATCAATCCGACAAACTCGGCTGAGCCAGCTGAGTGGCAACAGATTGAGCAGGCCTTCCAGTTGAAGCTGCACTGGTCTAAAGTCTGAAGTGTCAGCAGAACGCGGGATGCTGCGAAGCATGTTCAGAATTTTAAGAAACATTGAACCCCTGCAGGCAGTGGTGAGCAATTGCTTAAAGACGGAGGACCGCTGCCTGTTCGGAATGTAATCCGACCGGCGATGCTTCAGAGCGGCTCAGAAGCGCACCATACTGGTGCAGACAGTCCGTGTGTGTGTGTGTGTGTGCAGAAAGAAAGAACCGTGCCCTCCCTAGTTGCGAGGAAGCCACGGCCGTGGCCGTCGTGACGTTGGGCATCCAAATTTCATCGAA